TGGTTTCTCCAATAAAAAGATCAGGGCATTTCTCACTGCATTGAACTGCATACACCACTCCGCTCACTTGGTCTGGGGGTTTTGTCTTTAGGATGCACTAGTCTCTGTTTAAGGGTCTTGTTTGGTTTGAAATGTACTGGGATTTTGTGTTTGGAGAAAATCCTCTTGAGTTTTCAGAGACTCCAGCAACATATGGGATGGTGATGTTTTTGTGCTTGGAGGTTTGGAGAATTTCTGTTCTTTGCGCTTACCTTCGGGTTTAATAGGGACATGCTCGGCCCGGTTTTGTAAGGTTCTGATGACAAAGTTTGTGTTCTAGTGGGTGGTGTGATTCAAAAAGAAGATTTAGGTCTGTGTGAGTGGATTTCCTATACAAATGTACCAGCTGTTTCTAATGTAGGCTGAAAAAAGTACGAAAACATGCATATAAGAGAACAGACTTGCGAATTAAAACCAATTTATTTCTGAGTGACGTTAACTGAACAAAAGACTGATAAGAAGCATGCCAGCTGGAAAAATTAAATCACCATGGTAACTGTTACATTACTGCTTCTGTGAAACTGAGTCGAGGCTTAGTTAAGCCAGGATATGTGGAAAATCCTAGCTCACCCAAAATAAAAAAAACAAAAAATAAATGAGGAAGTGGTGTAGTTAAAGTCTGAATACTGTGGCTTCATCTAAAACACACCCTTCATTCCCAAAAGAACAAAACCTCCAGTTTGTGTTAAATGAAATACTTTTAAGAAGTCTAGAGCGTTTGATCATAAACAGTGTATAAACTATGTGATAAAAGATATGCTAACAAAAAACTATTTCGGACAAGTTGGTGTCCTAGGTTAATAGATGGACTGGCCCACACAAAGCCACATAAACATTGTTGATTAACAAGGAGGCAGAAGCTGGAGAAGTGATCCACACAGTGTATATCCAGAGGGGAACCCTAAACAAACTGTAAAACTAAACGAGCAGTGAAAAGTCTGATTTAAAACAAAGCCTGTGTGTTTTTGTAAAAGGGAAATATAGTCATATAAGGATGTGTTAAAATCACAAAGCTTACTTTAGTTTGTTTATCCCCCTCCTTGTGTATTTTACAGAGAAGAGCTGAGAAAAAGAAGTGAAAGTGGGACAAAAGACTGAATACCAGACTGAAGAACTGAAATTACATCGATACACATCAGTTGGACCACAGCAATTATCATAAAGAAACACTCAAATAAACACAGTTCCTTTCCCTTCTGTTTGATAAGGAAGGACATTTAAAATAAAACATTGTACAATAAATATCTTCAGTGCCACTTTGGTTATGTGAATGTTCCTTCATAACTCAAGTAAAGGAAATCAAATAGAAACATATTCCACAAACGTTAGCATTGATAATTGATATAACTGCTTTTGTTTTCATCTGCTTGCAGTAATATTGCATGTATAATTGGACCAAAATGTTCCTCCACAGCGCTTGGAGTCTGAGGTTTTGGTTAAATGAAGCAGTAAGTTGCATAAATAGCAACAAGTCTATTTCATTTAAAATCATTCCTGCCTCATATTATATCGTTTAAAGTGATTAACCTGGTGGTCTTCAGCATGTATTTTTACATGATTAAAATACGATTGTATTTTAATCCCGTAAAGCACTTTGCATTGTCTTTGTACTAAATTGTGCTATACAAATAAATTTGCCTTGCCCCAATCTATGATTTTTGGGAAATAAACCAGCCTTAAAGGGCTGAATATATTCTTTTCTCCTCTCTCATAAGCTTACACTTAGATATTGGTTTGCAGTTTCTTTTTTCCATATTTGCAGAGGAAGAAGAAAAATGACCAGACTTTTATTTTGAAAATTCCAAATTATATATGTTATAGTTTGGAAGTAAAAACTTCACATTTTTGCTTTGAACTAGAACAATATTAATACACAGCAGATGGCCCTCTGTGCTTTGCAGCCTTATTTCCAACCTAACAGGGGCATGCTTGGACTGGATTGGCAGGGTCTGGTCTGGTTTTGGTTGCAAAGGGAAGCACATGGATGCATTCTGTCAGTTTCACCTTGGGGTGGGACTCAGGTGCTGCCCTGCGACCTAACTTGGCAGCATGGGCCTTTTCAGGGGACTGCTCTTGGTGGGGATATTTTGGAGGGGGAGGGAGTTATGCTGCCACATAGATACTGCAGATAGTTATTGAGACTCCACCAATGACAAATACCAGGGGATATCTTGGGTTTGACGAATGGATGACTGGGGTGGACACATTAGCAAGCCTAGTAATCTGTAAGAAACTTGTTTGATGTTAGCTTGTCGCCATTTATAAAACACAGAATAAAAAGTGATAATCATCTGATCTGACATCACAGCCTAAAGCTGTCTTGTATGAAAGCTGTATTACTCTGTTGTAACAGAGAACCACAAACTCAA